CATTTAGGGAGGTTTTTCATATATATGCATTTAGGGAGGTTGCATTTAGGAAGGTCCGACTGTAATATATGTAAAGAGCTTATCATATAATTAATGAATAATATATGTACACGAACAGACAAAAATTTTCTAAATTGCTGTTTTGATACAATTTTTATAAGATTTATATGTAAATGTATCCAAAAATTACCTTACGTAGAGATTGTAGCTACTGACATTTATATGTCTATGATAATATATATAACTACCTATAAAGGATTTTAGATAGCAAACCTACAAAAAATATTCGTCCTGGTAGTCTTTGACCAATCAAAATTCATAATCAGGTGTAATGTGGTAGTTAAACATACATATTCTGTTTTTCAAAGTAAAAAGTTGCATGTAAAATTAAGCCAGCAAAACCGTATTATGTTAGTGATCAATACAGCCCTATTGGTAAAATTTTACAAGAAATACTTTTAATTAAGCTACAGAAAGTACACTATAATTAACATTCATAACTACTTTTTTTTTGTAAAAAAATAACTTTGAAATTCGATTGGTCAAAATTACAGGGTAAAACAATGGTATAATCACCAAAAACTTTATTATCAAATACTTGTACATCAAATGACTATAGATCAAGTTAGTTATATAATAAGCACATTAATATATAAGTATGTATAACTTGTTTGATCTATGAGCATTTGATGTCTGATTAATTATAAGTATTTGAGTGTCAAATTTTTGTTTGATTGTGTTGAGCACTAGCTAAATCTGTAGTAGTGACTGGACTCATGTTAATTTGTGACTTGCGAATTAAACTCTGAAGAGTGCTCGAATCATTCAAATAATAATATTCTTCGAATTTTATTTGAGTTATTCGAGTCACATAAATTAATTACACTGGTAAATTTTAAAACATTCAACATGTCAAATAGCATCATTCAACTGCCATTAGGCTACATTTTATATGCTGAATGATAAGTTATTCAATCAGTTATTTAACTTACATTCAATATATCAAATAATATGTCATGTAGCTTCTGTGGCTTTACAGACATCAATGTCCGTGAAGCCACAGAAGCCACATGATCTGCAGATATCGATGTTTGTGAGACGCAGCCCCCTAAGTGCGGGTTACGGGTCATCGCCGCCACATTCATTTAATAATAACTATTATCTATTACACTAATAATTTTTATTAATGCAATAGATAATCAAAAAAGGTAACGCACGTTATATTATTATGAATGTGGCGACAGTGACCCGTGATCCGCACTTAGGGGGGGCCGCCCTGGCTGCGTCATGTTTGTGAAGCCACAAAAGCTATATAAACATATTATTTGATATATTGAATGCCATTCAACGTGTCGAATTTTTAAAATTTACCGGTGTTATCATAAATAGCAAATTGAAAGTTACAAAGTAACATAAATTAATTATTGTAAATAGCAAATTGAAAGTTACAAAGTCACATAAATTAATTATCGTAAATAGCAAATTGAAAGTTACAAAGCAAGCATATTTTAATTTAATTCGTGTGTTATAAAAAGCGAATAACAATAAAAGCAAACATCTCAAATTACAAGTTATAAAGCCGATACATGGCATATAAATTATTCATTAGCTGGAAATATTGTATCTAATAAATTCATGTTTCTCTTTAAAAATAGCATCTCTTCTACCAATTCTGGATCAAGGTTTGTACGTTTTGCTGTAATATTGTTTCCAACATCAGAAAATAACCATTCTGATGAAACTGATGTTGCTGATACACATAAATACTTTTGAGCAATTTTTGATAATATCAGAAACTGGGTTTTTTTAAGACTCCACTATTGAAAAGGATCTGTTCGTCTTCTTTCCTCTTCTAACAACAAATATTTATCAATTTCATTAATTGTATTATTATTGTCAGCATATAATTCTGAAAGAATTGACTTTTGTTTTCTTGGAACCATGCTGGTATCTAAATCTTCATTCTGAATATTAGACAAGAGTGTCGAATGGTTAGAAGCCATATAAACCTCACATTCTGATTCATATAGTTTTTTTAAATGATCATTAGTTTTTTGAATTACATTTGGATTTGCAAAACGTAGCTTTTTAAATCGTGGGTCAAGTAAGCATGCTAGCATGCCAACATCTGTAACAGATTGCCAATATTTGTACATACTATCATAGAAAATTTTTTTAACTTTCTCAAGCATTTCAATTGTAATTATCAGGACTGAGATGTCAATTTTTTTATGAATAATTTCTGATGTCGAGTCAATTTCTTTAATTTCAATAAAATCCTTCGTATCATCTATAATCTTCTCCATATAATCTAAAATCGTTAATTCGCTCATATCAGTTGATACTGTTTCAATATAAGATTGTTGAAGTGATGATTTTAAAGTCTTAACCAATACTGAAATTGCCGGGTACATTAAAGAGATAGTCACATAACTATTTCTATATAACAACGTTGTTACTTCTTCAAAACCACACAGGATATCGTTTAATTCATCTAAAAAAATCTATTCGTTATCAGAAAGCATAATACGTGCTAATCGGTCACCATCTTTTCGAACAGAAGCACTCTTATCCAATTGAAGCCGTGAAAGAAGTTATACTATTGCTCTTTTTAATTGAATTAATCTTTCCCATGTGTAAAATGTTGAATTCCACTATGTGGAAATATCACCAATTGTCGAGAGGCGCTTTTTAAACCCAAGGTCTTTTTGTGCAGTAAGAAGGTATTCTGCTCTGTCCCTAAGCTCTGTCTGTAGACTTTTCGAATACCCTTATGTCAAGCGAAAATCAGACCCTTCCGATCTAAATACTTAGGTTGGAGTATCTCAAGTATTATACATAGGTCCGATATAAAAAAAGTAAGGGATATATGTAAATTTTAATGCTGAGCATTTTTAATTAGAAGCCAGATGTTGGTTAGCATAGTA